AGTGCGGTCTATAAAGCACATTGCTAGATACAGCGGCTTGTCTAGAAATTCTTTAGTTGATTTGATCATATCTAGACATCTTGGTGTCTGCAAGGCTTTTTCTTCTAAGGTACTAACTGATTGATTTCATCCACTTCATAATGATCTTTCCAAAACGTTATCTTTCCCTTCTACCTGTTCGAAGTTCAGAATTTCCTTCTCCCACACGTCACCATATCGTAATACTGTTTTGCCTTATCTCTCACTTTTGCTTGTTGACACACTAAAGTCAGAAACATGCTGCGCGAGCGCCTGTTGGAGTAACAGTTCCGCTTTTTTCCAGTTTTCTTCCCACGCATGTATATTAATGTTATCATCCAGATGACCGCAGTGATGGTGTAAATGCTGAAAATGAACCCATTATTTTGGGCTTGAGTTAACTACCTTCCCTAGTACCGATCACGAGTCGCATATTGCTACTATCGGCAAAATCTAGATGTTCGACTAGAGCACGCTTGCGAGCTCGTTAAGGATGATCAATTACACTGTACAAAATTTTTACCTATAACAGAAATGCCGATGTTCTCAGATTATAGAATTCACCCCACTGATTGTAGAAATGTATTCCGATGTTACCTAGCACGTTAGTTTACATTGTTATAACAAATGACTATTTTCAGTAATGTCAAGGCTAGATCGTACAAAGTATATGTAAATCCACTGAATCCCAGCATACGGGATGCATCTATGTGTTAAATACGTTTAAACCATCACTGCAACTCTCGCCGTTAACTACTAACTGCAGCTGGGCACTGGGAACTGATGACTTCGCCGAGATCGTCGCTTGTACAATCCAGCGCCTTCTCGTTGCAGAAACCAGAAAAAGTCATAGAAGGCGTGTACATGCCACCGCGGTGCTGCTCCATGAATGAAATATCTTGGTGAAAGCGCTAACCATCCTCATCGTGAATAGATTCTAAGTTCTCAGGGGAAAACTTAAGGTAATTAGGCAAAAAGTGCATTTTGATGGACATTCGAGCTCCAAATCCCCGACAGTCCACAATCAGGTTTTTTTGATGTCTTTGTAGTTCTCTGCCTTTGTTCTACCCAACAACTCTGTACACGTTGACTTGAATGATCCCCACGCTTGTAACTCAAACAAAGTCCACTGGCATTCAAAAGCATTGTCTGCCATTATCCGGAGAATATCAGGCCCAATAAATATCTCTCCTTTGAGCTTCGCATTATGGATCTTCTGAAACACTTGTTTCAGGTACTGATACGCAAAACCATCTCGCTTGGGAGCTTTGACGCAGTTTTTAATCAAACCCAGCTTGATGTGCAGTGGTGGTCGATAGATATCATGAGGTTACACAAGAGGTGTAGGCTTTACACTCATTTGCCCTGCAGTATACTCCGTCCACTGTGGCCACTTTTCGGTTGTGGTGTTGTTGAGTTGCTCTTCTGTCCCATAAGCACAAGAAACAACAATATTTTGTGAAGCCTCCTTGCATGCTCAGTGGGAGTCCAGTGATCATGAAGTCAACCCAGATGTTCCAACAGTACTTATGGTAGTTCAGTGCAGCGAGTAACCATTGCATATTTTCCTAAGTTGTCTTCATATTGGTGACATCCAACAGAAGCACGGTTGGGTACACATTTCCATTGTGGAGCAGTGTGGCCTTAAGACTACTCTTGGATGAGTCAATGAACAAATGCCATTCATTGCTAATATGCCTAACGCCTAGCTCCTTCATCAGTCCTTCCACGTCGGAACAGTAACAAAAGGTTTGTCTCGTGTCATAAAAACCGGACAAGTTAACACTTTGCTTTCTGTATACAGTAACCTTAGTGTTTGCGGCAAATGAGTGCCTCTGCTGCAGCCGAGACGCCAGCAACTCGGCCGTCTTTAGGCAAGCCCAGATCACGTAACAAGCCATTCAGCTTTGCTTGTTCATCAACATGCGGGTTGAGAACATCGGCTTCAAAGTTTCCACAGATGTCAGAATCAGGGGAAGTTGACAATGCGGAATCACTAGTCATTATCAGTGTCCTGTTCACTGGTGGCCTGGAATAGGTAAGATGCAATCATGAGTAACAGGTCGAATAGCTGGTAGAAGAAGGGGGTAATGAATTTTGTCCTTGTTTCGGTTGACGATTCCAATGACACTGGTTAGGCGGAAGTAGCAGTCTATCGTGTGATCCTTCGGCTTCCTCCACACCTTGGGGATTGCAAACGGCATCTTGCCTTCGCCCTTGAGCCACTGAGTCATATGAAGATTGCACAATACATAAACAATATGCGACACCCAATTCTTATCCTGCTCTCCCAGTTGTATGGCGAAATATGCGTGGTAGTCAGACTTCATTACGGAAGAAATGGGTCTGCACTGCGACTTTGCAGTAAACTGTCCACAGACGTAACCAAAATGACTTCAGTCATTGGCACAACAGCGTCTTTCAGCCATGATCAAGATCAAGTAATCAAAAACAGCTCTCAATCGACTTTCAGTATCAGGTGGATACCATACCTTACAGGACTCCTTTTCCACGATTACTTTGAGCGAATTGACCAATCACAGGCGAGCATTCGATGTATGGAACGCACTGCTTAGTGGAAATGAAAAATTGAAAGTAAAATGAACGACGTGATGGGAACGTTTGGTTTGTATATTCGTAATCAGCTCACTTGGTACTATTAGAAACATGCTGTCTCATTTCGGTGAGAAAAATGTCGTTGCAAAGTGTACTTGGCGCAACCACAGCACTGATGTTTGTGGAACACTGCTTTCCACTTCAATGGAATCGGGCAATTCTCCCCGAAACCACATCTTCAGCCACTTATCATAAACGAAGTTTCCAGTACATCTAAATACGGGGTTCCAACTTCCGTAGTTTGCTGCTTTTGGAAAAACATGCAATGATCTAAGCGGTTGAGTGCGTTAGAAAAGTCGAGATAGTTGACCTCTGTCCCATTTCCACTATCAGCTCTTACGGTCCATTTGCGACGCACAATCAGTAGGTTGGTAGTTTATGACGGGTCTTGATCATTTTGGATCTTTCTAACTGATCCACCAGTGTCTCAGCCATGATCGACTCCATTAACTTTGAGTGCACTGGAATGTAGACCGCTGGGTGATGGTTGACAGGCTCCGGACGGATACCACCCGTACAGTAGAGGTAATACTGCCCTACTTCCACAGGTTAGGAGACTGATGTTTGTCCAATTATTTTTGATTACAACAATCAGTCATTGCTTGTAAACAATTGGCACGTGCCGAAATTAACAAACCTTTTCCCCCAAACCAAGTCAAAAACTCGTTACAGGTCACCATAAAAGGTGAATATGCAGTTGTGCTTAATCTTAGCGTCATCTGTCCCTTGAATGCCCAACGACTATCAGGTCAAAATTCATGCCAGCCTCACCTGTTTAATTGACGCTAGGCGTTCTGTTGTTTTAGCAGTTAAGTGGCCTTTTAGCTGCATCCTAAATCTGTAGTGTCGATGGAGGTATTCAACTCCATATTTAAGAGTAAAGAATTCGAATCAAACACCCAAATGAAAACGGGCTCTTGTTCTGCCTATCTGAATAATCTCCTATTAACTGGTCACGCTGCTTACGCTAATAGGGGTTACCTTCGTTAACTTTTTTGCGTTTTTAGCATTTTTATATAACTTCTGGACATTTTGTACTTAACACAGATTCGTTGCTAATCAACTGACGTCATTTGCTAATTTAGCCAACTGTCATCTCTGCATAGTCGTATGCTTTGACAGATATATATTTTCGTTAACAATGTCGTCTCAAGTGGTTAGCTGTTGCTTGATCTCCCCGGTGTGGCTGCGCTTGATGTGCATCTTGACTAGGTGACCACCTGTCTATTACCCACTACCTCGTCCATAATGGCTCCAGGCGACAGTTGGTCGTTACTGGAGGGGACGGGGGTTGTTTTCGTGCTAGGCTCGAAGAGTGGTTCCATGCACTCAGTGTGGAGCGGACTACGGTCCAGCAACCGCCTTCTGTGTTATTGATTCCCAAATACAGCGTGCTTGTGTTTTCTTGTGAAGGAGTGTGGTCCGGCTCCGTTGATGAAACGTGGTTCCCATCCACATGCCTCCCGGTTTTATTCCTTCGGGTTTACACTGGTTATGGAGTGTGTGGTTGCAGCTGTGGGTGGTGCAGCGTAAGCCACCCATGGTCCCTCTGTAGGCGCAGGCGTCCTGTGGCTGGCCACAGTGACAGGCAAATCCGAAACCGGATGCCGCCAACCATGTGTGTAGGTGGTATCTACTCGACTCCAAGTAATTGGTATGGGGTGGTTACGGTATAAGTTGAAATCGTCATTTCTATTCCTATGCAGGCAGCCATCACACGTCCTAAAAATAACTGCAATGCCATTTCGTCATTTCACGCCTCATCAGCAACGCGCGTTCCAGCTGACGCATGTGAGGGTGTAACCTGTGACACTACTCTTGCCGATCTGTGGTTCAGCGGTCACGAATGATGGCAACTACCGATGTGACTTTGTCTCTAGCTGTGACACGGCTTTGCTCACTGTTCATCGACTTTCAAATTACTGGCGTATAGAGGATTGGACACCTCCTTTGGCGAGGGAATCCCAATCCTAGGTTTCCAGTAGACTTACGACATTAAACTCAGTCTAGATTGTCTACTGGTTATAGGTGGAGAGTGAGCCACCCCATATATCACGCCTGGTAAATTAGTCGTGTCATTTGGTTGTGTTCCCCTTGGCTCACTGATCTTATGAATGCATTCGTGCGATTATAGTCACGGGTTCTAGCATCAAAGATAAAAACCACTCAATCCTTTTACGATAGTCAAATGCTGTCAAGCCTTCCGTTAGTCTTGGCCGTGTCACCCAACTATGGAAGCTACTCACAGTGAGCGAAAAGGTTCATGGTATTCTACTTTCCATCAGCAGTTTCTTCAAGCTGCTTTTTACACTAAACTTCTTTAAATGTACAAGTTTCTGAATTCTACGTTTTATTCGCTCATTCAGGTGCGCACTGACCAACCTCAGAAATTCCCCTACAACAAAGAGACAAAGAAGCTGAAAAAAGGTCGAGATGAATTCAGCTGCTTTATGCCCAAATCCTATGCTTGGTGGAGCATTCCAGTTGATGTTCGAGAGCCACGTTACCTAATCATAGACCCAGTGAACGGACCTGCAAGCACTCTCACTGGAACGTGGGCGAAAAAAGATTTGGCGGAAGTATTTATGCGTGAGTACACAAGGCAAGTCAGATGATAACTTTCGATTGCAACGACATTGCGGTTGTGGCAAAGTAAACTGGAAAGTCTGTTTTCAGACGGTTCGAGTATTAATCGCAAGTGTTATGTTTATCTTAACGGACAACGTCCAGCTTGTTGTCCTGAAAGAGTTTTCAGTTCAAGAGGCGTAAACTTGTTCGATGGCAAAATGAATATAGTAGTCTGGGCCCAAAGTTTTAGATGGGCACCAAATCTTTGTGTTATCCACAATGAGTAAAAGCCATTGTACGCTCTATGAAGTAATTGGATTTGTTACGCTGTTTGCAAACACGATTAAGCGCCGACCCTGGGGCGTTTGAATGTGTTGTCCATTCCGTAAGGAAAAGAACAGCGAACACTGAATGTCAGTTAGTTTATTGAGACATGAATTAATAATAATAGTTTCCAGTGACCACACTGGCTCAACTCGTTGTGGGAAAATTGATGGGATATCGTCGCAGCTCAATCTTACCTCATTTTGTCAGCAACATTCAATCCCTTTTTACTGAATCTAACGAGTATGGCTGGTCACTTATTCAATCTGTGGGTATAACAGACAGGATACACTAGATCATTGGTCAGCCAATTAGTGCCAGAGTATCGGCGAAATAGTATCTTACAATGTGCCATATTGCGGAAACAAGGACTAGCCTAAGAACATAAATATGCTCCGTCTGAAGAAGAACCGCAAGATGACACAGATGCTCACTGCCATGCGGTAATCATGTTATTTTTCTGATCATTGGAAGCACACCAGATATATTCACGTTGAACGAAGCTATAATGGATGTTAGTGGATTGTCTCAGTTTTCGGTTGCTCATGAGAAAATGCAGATTAAGGTAACGCTATGAGGATGGCATATAATTTCTATCTCAAATGGTACGAGTGAAATTCTCACAGGCTACCCTAAGGTCAGTGCTAGTGATGCCAGGAATATAAGGTGTCCTTCCGGGACGTACAATATCCATCGGTCACGTGTTCAGATGTGGTTACTTTGCCGTTATGGACGTGCTAATTGCGTTTACAGAAAAGTAGTAGGGGGATTTGAATGGTATAGGGAGAAATTCGTCACACCTAGACTTACTCAGACAGCCATAACACGCCCAGAAAAGCACTGTACACGCGTTTCATCCTTTCGGGAATCGTCAGCAGTGCGTATTCCATCGGACGCTGCTACGGCTCGAACCGGCAATTCGACTGTTGCCAGTCTGTGGTTGAGACCACTGAGCTACGGGGGACGGCAATGACCATCGTGAAGAAGTTACTAGATGTGATATAGCGCCGCTCACTATTCACTGACTTACACGTTACTCCCTATACCATTCAACCCCCTACTACTCCTCTGTAATCAGTGCGCAGACCAAACTACTTATAATAACATAAGTTATTTGGCGGATAGGTTTGGTAAGCTCGTTGCTTGGTGTGCGGGCTACCCTGTCCTCTGCACGACAGTAACGTATAAGTCAGTGGATAGTTAGTGGCGCTATATCACATCTAGTAACTTCTTCACGATGGTCGTTGCCGTCCCCCGTAGCTCAGTGGTCTCAACCACGGACTGGTAACAGTCGAATTGCGGGTTCGAGCCCTACCAGGATCAGATCGAATGAGCAATGCTGACGATTCCCCAAACGATGAAACTGCGGTACAGTGTTTTTCCGGGCGTGTGATGGCTGTCTGAGTGAGTCTAGATGTGACGAATTTCTACCTATACCTTACCTTTCAACTCCCCCTACTACTCTTCTGTGATCAGTACGCAGACCAAACTGCTTGTAATGTTGTAAGTTACTTGAGTTCAGTACTGTCCCGAAGACCTGCATGCCATATTTCCCCCAACAACTCCTCTCCATCTGCCGGATTCATTAACGGAGGTGGTCTCATGCTGCAACAAGTAAACACCTTGTCAACACGTACACACACACACCTTGGGTGCACCCGGTCGTAGTATATCAAACAGGAATGAATGTTATGCTTGCAACACATATTCTGTGTGTAGGTTTAGCTTTTTTGCACGAATGATGCAACACATGTGTACCGGTAGTCGTAGGAACAGTTTGACTGGTAGTTGCTGTCGGAAACATTTTCTTCTGTAGTGACACGTACCCATCGCCCTTTTGACGTCAACAGCTCCAAAGTACGACGCGAAGTTATTGGGTTGCCTCGGTTGAGTAAAATCATTTTGGCATTTGCCGCACTATAGTGTGTATGAGGATGTGAAAATCAGGTCCAACAGCATCCACCTCTAGCATAATTAACGTTTTGGTTCCCGTTGCTCTAGCCACTTTCGTGCACCAATGAGTCGACGTACTTCATGTTGGCAAGCCATCGTGATTCATAACTATTTGTTCCCCATCGCTAAGACCGAAATTTCTCCGTGTGGAACTCACTTTGATCAGCTGCAGATAACGCCCATTCTGTTGCTTGCAGTGCTTTCTCATGCAATCATTGAGTCATACTTTAACATTTTTTTGATTGCCCCCTCACAACAGACGTGATTACTCCATCTAAGGGGTCGTGATAACGTAATGCAAACAGCTCTGTACCCTATACTGCCGCGAAACACTTTGTCCTACCTACGAATGCGCAAAATCCTTTGTAGGCCGTACTGGTGAAATCTTTCTACTCAGTGGCTCTTTTTGCTGCAGTCTCCAAAGCACACCACGATAGGAAGGGGACCGATACCACCGTCGATTGTTGAATCAACAACATGGTCCTAGAAATCGAATGACACTTTTTGTAAATCAAGCGTTTCAGTTACGCAAAAGCCGCACTTGTCTTTGGTACGTAATTTCGCAACTTTGGATATTTTCAACAACTTCCCCATTCAAATATCAAGAACATGGGGACAGAGGTGAACAGTTCATCACCAGACCTGTACAATCATTTAAGGCAAATAGCAGTGGGATACAATTGATCGGATTAATTTAAATGAAACGAATCATGTGCCCCCAGGTTTGTGAACCGACGGGCAATCTTAGCTAGGTAACAATTGCGTCTTCCAACATGCGCAATAGCTTCCACGTCTTCTACTTTTGTTGGCCAAGGTAGCTGCAGTGTCTGGAGTAGGTTTCTTTTGGAACATAACGGAGATTGAAGCAACCGAATGCCGTTGACCTCTTCTGTTGCAAGCATACAGAGCCGTGAGCCTCTCGAATGCAATGGGGGAATCCTGTAGATGATCCGAAAGGCACGCTTCAGTTCTATCTGATGACCAGTGTCAACAAGGTGAACCGAAATGGGGCTAGTAATAGCCCCAGTGCCACCTGGACGTCAGCAACTTATGTAATACTCATTGACGCGCATTGACAGGGGCCGCGCCCATCGATTGACATACGTTGCGCCACAGGGGGACTCGCTATTTTCGCGGATTTACTAACGGCGTATTCCCGGAACTGGTACCGTACGTCTTTGTCAATAGTACATAACTGTGGGTAGCGTATAACTTTACTCCTTGTGACGGATGAAGAGGATATGCAGTATTATCCATGCTGATAACGAGTCCAATCTTGGTGGCTGCTGAGGTGTATCACAGTTACGCACCTCAATTCATCCTCCAGCCGTGGAAACAAAGTACGTTGATCTGAAAATAACTGAATTCGGTAATTATCCTACATACCAGATATTTCGCGCAGACATGCCTGGTGTTCAGCGACTCACCATCATTCGGTGCTCACTGCCAGCATCGTACTCTAGTGAAGCGGAAGTTTCCGAACTCATACAACTTGGATATATATTACAAGTAAAGGTTAAGAGGTGGCCTTTTTTCACACTAGGCGTTTCAGCAAATCACACAAGGTTTGTCCACATGGCCGGCATGTCGTTATACAGATTCTCTGTTAAACCAATAAACTTAGTAAAGTAATTAAATTCGCCTAAAAGCTGACTCCATCCCTTCTGTTAACTGAATTAAAGTTCTTGACGATGCCAGCGGACAGCGAATTCGGAAACAGTTACTTTAGCTTCATTTCTCATGTATTTAGCGGACCATGTACTACATTTTGTTGTTTTGCGGTACTGTTCTTTGGCCACGCCGAGCGTCAGCATCAGAGTGACCAGATGATCAGCCATTGTCTGTGTTGTGTCGCAGCTGACTCCTTCATCGCACGACCGCACGATGAACTCCTAAGACGTGCTGGGAAAGAATCGTATGATTTGAATCATGTCTGTTTAAATAGTTTTATGTACGGCGTGTAGGGTAGCTGCTATAAGCTATTTCAGCCAACCATATGGCTAAGAGCATGCAAGCAAAATGAATCCAATGAAGAGTGATCAACGAAGGAACCAATAACAGACACGCACGGACGAATGAGAATGCTAGCAGCCAAGTGACATTGCGATCCGAGGGCAAAAACAGTGACCACAAGCAGGCAATGAAATCAGCGGAAACATGTGTTTAAACAAATGTCTTAACTGTGATAGTTAAGGGAAATAATTCGTTAACTAAGGATTGTAACGAACAATATATGTTCACTTCCAAACCTCCTAAAACTCTGGACAGTTACTTTCTTGCCCAACTTACTTTACTGCCTGCTGCTGCTGCAGGTGTACAGTGATAGGGGAAAGGAATCACTCGATTGTGCAAGCACCTGCTCCTCTGTCTAACTGCGTTCAAACAAGCAGTGAAAAGCACTGTTACTTGAGGACTTAACAATGCTCAACACTTCGGGTATCATTTCGCCCGCACCAGTGCATACAAGAGAGTTACATATCACGTGATTTTCATGTGTCAGCAACTCTGTTATGCCTGTTAGATTGTTGCATCCTGTCCAACTCGCTCCACACAAACTTCTTGATACTGCGTTCACCGGTGTACTCATCGACCGAAAACCTGGCCCGTGAGTAGTACAACTTTTTACATTGTCCCCTTGTTGGACATAAGTTCCACTTACTCACCTACGTTGGAGTCTAGATGGGACTGAGCTCATGAGTTGACTCTCGGTGCGCACTGCAAAAATACTTTTCCTCTCCAACTTGTCTGAGTCCTCTC